ACCGCGCGGGCTGGGGGGCCGTGGGCCCGCCCAGGTGCAGAGCGTGTTTCCAGAGGGCAGAGCGAGAGGAGGGGCTGCCGGCGAGGGAGAGGACAGAGGGCCCGCAGGAGCCCACCACCTGCACGGACATTCCAGGCCCGGTCACTTAGGACAGGATGAGCAGGGGGCTCACTCAGCAGGGTCCCCAGCCGCTACCACACCCACTGTAACTCACTCAGGAGCAGGCACAGGAGTGGCTCCGGCCGGCGGGCGTCATGGCCGCGCCGGAGCCTCGAGGGCAGGAGAACGAGAAGAGGGCGCAGTGCAGAGGGACGTCATCAGAGGGAACAGCGGGACAGGTGTGAGCTCCAGAGATTTCGGCAGGAAGGAGGCGGCGGGGCCCCGCCGTGGGCGCCGTTTCCACGTGGCACTGCGACCCGGGGGTGGCACGGGGAGGCCACGGCGAATTTGCGACACCGTGCATCTCCGTGCGGCCCCTGGGACGGCGTGATAGACAGTTCAGCATCCAGGGGAGTCAAGGACACAGGCAGGACCAGACCAGGAGAGGCGGGCAGGGCGGCGTGTGTGCGAGGGGGGGAGGGGGAGCAGGGCAAGAGCAGGGGCGCGGCACAGCGGCCTGGCAGCGAACGAGGGAGCGCGGCAGGCGCTGGCTCCGGAGCCCGTGGCCAAGGCGGGCTGCGGGCGGTGACGGAGCAGGGATCGGTGCCTCCGCGTTCAGATCGGAGACCAGGTGAGCGTCCGGTCCGCCCGCCCTTCCGACTGACCCCCGCGGCGGCCTCTGCCCAGCCACTAACCAGCGCCCTCTGCCTCTCCCAGCCAGGTCTCAGCGGGGGTGACAACGTGCCTGCCAGCCACGGAGGCCAGGCGCCAGGAGGTGTGCTGAGAGCGACATGACATGGTCCGGTGTGACGGCGAGAAGGGAGCGGAGCCCGGCCTTCCTGGTCAGTGCAGGTGCAGGGCGTGGCTCCCAGACCCTCAGCGGTGTCACCTCACGCCTGACCTGTCTTTTCTCTTGCAGAACATCTCTGGCTGGCGCCCTGGGAGCGCAGCGCCCAGCTGGTCTCTGTCCTTTGCTTGCCGGAGGAGCCCATACAACTCTGGCCTCGGGACCTCAGAACCCTCAAGATGACAAGGTGAGCACCCCTGCTCCCCACCCCCCGCACGGGAGGTGGCACGGGGCCAGGGCTGGCACTCACTCCGTCCCCCCCTCCCCTGCAGAAATGGTGCTACCCAGCTCAAGCCTGGGCCTCGGACCCCGGACTTCTTCAAGTCCTTCTAGCTCTGACTCAAGAATATGCTGCACTTGGAACCACTAACCACCCGTCTCAGGAATCGGCTGCGAAGGTGAGCGTGGGTGCCCGGTCCGGAGGCATTGCCCTCCCAGCCTGGCCCCACCCTCAGCCCTGTCTCTCTGTCGACAGGTAGAGCAAAGGACCAAGATCGGCGACACCAGCACCACCGGACGCGAGCAGCTCCCGCGGCAGCACCTGCCCCCGCGGCGATACCATCTTGGCCGCGCCCCAGCGAGGGCTGGAGACCACCCCAGCCGCCCGCCCGGCACCACCACCCTCCTCCTCCTTCTTTTCAGACTTTCCTGTTTCCTTTCCCTCCTTTCCTTCTTTCTCTGTCCCTGGCTCAGCAGCTCAGCGTCCGGGACTCCGCGTCCCCCACAACCCCCTGATTCAATTTGCACTATAAGTCGTTTGCACTGGTTTGGGGTCCTGGACCGCCCCGAGTCTCTGAGCGTGTGCGTGAGTGTGTGCGTGAGCGTGTGCGTGAGCCACTGCCGAGTGTGCCGGCCTCCTTGGGCCGGTGCCGCCCCAGCGCCCCCGCCCTCCGTCACTGGGGGTGCTGGGTGCGGCAGAGTGCATGGGGCCCTGCCCCCCCCCTCGCCTAGTCTGGACGCTCCGCCCACCAGGAGCACCTAGCACTGCATTGTGCACCATCCTGCCTGTGTCCCTCCTCACCAGGCCTCACCAGAAGCCTGGCATCATCAATAAATCCGTTCCAGCACTTGGTCTCCTCAGTGTCTTCCCTGCGCCGTGGCAGTGGGCGGGGGCACATGAACAGGGGATACGGGCGGGCGCACATGAGGGAACATAAGAGAACAAGAGAAAACAGGGGTGGGGGGTCACACAGTGGTGTGGGCAGCAGCAGGGCCTATGAAGTGGGTGGGACTTGTGCGAGGCTGTGGGACCAGGGGTCCCTGCAGGGAGGGGTGATGAAGAGAAGGGAGTTCTGTCATGAGAGGGTGGGGTCCCCCAAGTCTCTTGAACTTGATTCTGCCATACAAGTGCCTCCTGGGCGACACCCGAGGCCTCCCCCCCGCCCCCCGCCCCCCATCCTGAAGGCCTGGGCTGGGGCCTCTTAGGGCAGTGGGCTTGATGGGGAGGGGGCTGGGGGGCTTTGAACTCAAAGGGACACAGAGATGCCCCTCCCGCTCACACTGCTGTGGGGGAGCTGGGGGCTACAGGGAGGGGGGCACAAAACAGACATGAGGTTCTGCTCAGCGGCCTGAGGCTCCGAGGTGGGGGAGCTACTCAATAGCCAGGTGACAGCCAGCCAAGCAGAAAGGG